CAATTGCCTATCATTTGTACCTAGTGTGGACAAAAGCTTTGTCATAGGGATTTTTTTATGAATTAAAGAAGGGAGGGGGTTGGGTCACCCTACCCCAACTTTGGACCTCAATTAAAAAAGTTCCGTAACTTTACCCACCTGGATCTTTGGGTCCAGGCAACCTTAGGCAATTGCCTATCATTTGTACCTAGTGTGGACAAAAGCTTTGCCGTAGGGACTTTTTTATAAATTAAAGAAGGGAGGGGGTTGGGTCACCCTACCCCAACTCTGGACCTCAATTAAAAAAGTTCCGTAACTTTACCCACCTGGGTCTTTAGGTCCAGGCAACCTTAGGCAATTGCCTATCATTTGTACCTAGTGTGGACAAAAGCTTTGCCGTAGGGACTTTTTTATGAATTAAAGAAGGGAAGGGGTTGGGTCACCCTACCGCAACTTTGGACCTCAATTAAAAAAGTTCCGTAACTTTACCCACCTGGGTCTTTGGGTCCAGGCAACCTTAGGCAATTGCCTATCATTTGTACCTAGTGTGGACAAAAGCTTTGCCGTAGGGACTTTTTTATGAATTAAAGAAGGGAGGGGGTTGGGTCACCCTACCCCAACTTTGGACCTCAATTAAAAAAGTTCCGTAACTTTACCCACCTGGGTCTTTGGGTCCAGGCAACCTTAGGCAATTGCCTATCATTTGTACCTAGAGTGGACAAAAGCTTTGCCGTAGGGACTTTTTTATGAATTAAAGAAGGGAGGGGATTGGGTCACCCTACCCCAACTTTGAACATCAATTAAAAAAGTTCCGTAACTTTACCCACCTGGGTCTTTGGGTCCAGGCAACCTTAGGCAATTGCCTATCATTTGTACCTAGTGTGGACAAAAGCTTTGTCATAGGGATTTTTTTATGAATTAAAGAAGGGAGGGGGTTGGGTCACCCTACCCCAACTTTGGACCTCAATTAAAAAAGTTCCGTAACTTTACCCACCTGGATCTTTGGGTCCAGGCAACCTTAGGCAATTGCCTATCATTTGTACCTAGTGTGGACAAAAGCTTTGCCGTAGGGACTTTTTTATAAATTAAAGAAGGGAGGGGGTTGGGTCACCCTACCCCAACTTTGGACCTCAATTAAAAAAGTTCCGTAAATTTACCCACCAGGGTCTTTAGGTCCAGGCAACCTTAGGCAATTGCTTCTCATTTGTACCTAGTGTGGACAAAAGCTTTGCCGTAGAGTATTTTTTTATGAATTAAAGAAGGGAGGGGGTTGGGTCACCCTACCGCAACTTTGGACCTTAAGTAAAAAAGTTCCGTAACTTTACCCACCTGGGTCCTTAGGTCCAGGCAACCTTAGGCAATTGCCTATCATTTGTACCTAGTGTGGACAAAAGCTTTGCCGTAGGGACTTTTTTATGAATTAAAGAAGGGAGGGGGTTGGGTCACCCTACCGCAACTTTGGACCTCAATTATAAAAGTTCCGTAAATTTACCCACCTGGGTCTTCGGGTCCAGGACACCTTAGGCAATTGCCTATCATTTGTTCCTAACGTGGACAAAAGTTTTGCCGTAGGAAATTTTTTATGAATTAAAGAAGGGAGGGGGTTGGGTCACCCTATCCCAACTTTGGACCTCAATTAAAAAAGTTCCGTAACTTTACCCACCTGGGTCTTTAGGTCCAGGCAACCTTAGGCAATTGCCTATCATTTATACCTAGAGTGGACAAAAGCTTTGCCGTAGGGACTTTTTTTTTAATTAAAGAAGGGAGGGGGTTGGGTCACCCTACCCCAAATTTGGACCTCAATTAAAAAAGTTCCGTAACTTTACCCACCTGGGTCTTTAGGTCCAGGCAACCTTAGGCAATTGCTTATCATTTGTACCTAGTGTGGACAAAAGCTTTGCCGTAGGGTATTTTTTATGAATTAAAGAAGGGAGGGGGTTGGGTCACCCTACCCCAACTTTGGACCTCAATTAAAAAAGTTCCGTAACTTTACCCACCTGGGTCCTTAGGTCCAGGCAACCTTAGGCAATTGCCTATCATTTGTACCTAGTGTGGACAAAAGCTTTGCCGTAGGGACTTTTTTATGAATTAAAGAAGGGAGGGTGTTGGGTCACCCTACCCCAACTTTGGACCTCAATTAAAAAAGTTCCGTAACTTTACCCACCTGGGTCTTCGGGTCCAGGCAACCTTAGGCAATTGCCTATCATTTGTACCTAACGTGGACAAAAGTTTTGCCGTAGGAAATTTTTTATGAATTAAAGAAGGGAGGGGGTTGGGTCACCCTATCCCAACTTTGGACCTCAATTAAAAAAGTTCCGTAACTTTACCCACCTGGGTCTTTAGGTCCAGGCAACCTTAGGCAATTGCCTATCATTTATACCTAGGGTGGACAAAAGCTTTGCCGTAGGGACTTTTTTTTTAATTAAAGAAGGGAGGGGGTTGGGTCACCCTACCCCAACTTTGGACCTCAATTAAAAAAGTTCCGTAACTTTACCCACCTGGGTCTTTAGGTCCAGGCAACTTTAGGCAATTGCTTATCATTTGTACCTAGTATGGACAAAAGCTTTGCCGTAGGGACTTTTTTATGAATTAAAGAAGGGAGGGGGTTGGGTCACCCTACCGCAACTTTGGACCTCAATTAAAAAAGTTCCGTAACTTTACCCACCTGGGTCCTTAGGTCCAGGCAACCTTAGGCAATTGCCTATCATTTGTACCTAGTGTGGATAAAAGCTTTGCTGTAGGGACTTTTTTATGAATTAAAGAAGGGAGGGTTTGGGTCACCCTACCCCAACTTTGGACCTCAATTAAAAAAGTTCCGTAACTTTACCCACCTGGGTCTTCGGGTCCAGGCAACCTTAGGCAATTGCCTATCATTTGTACCTAACGTGGACAAAAGTTTTGCCGTAGGAAATTTTTTATGAATTAAAGAAGGGAGGGGGTTGGGTCACCCTATCCCAAATTTGGACCTCAATTAAAAAAGTTCCGTAACTTTACCCACCTGGGTCTTTAGGTCCAGGCAACCTTAGGCAATTGCCTATCATTTGTACCTAGTGTGGACAAAAGCTTTGCCGTAGGGACTTTTTTATGAATTAAAGAAGGGAAGGGGTTGGGTCACCCTACCGCAACTTTTGACCTCAAATAAAAAAGTTCCGTAACTTTACCCACCTATGTCTTCGGGTCCAGGCAACCTTAGGCAATTGCCTATCATTTGTACCTAGTGTGGACAAAAGCTTTGCCGTAGGGACTTTTTTATGAATTAAAGAAGGGAGGGGGTTGGGTCACCCTACCCCAACTTTGGACCTCAATTAAAAAAGTTCCGTAACTTTACCCACCTGGGTCTTTGGGTCCAGGCAACCTTAGGCAATTGCCTATCATTTGTACCTAGTATGGACAAAAGCTTTGTCATAGGGATTTTTTTATGAATTAAAGAAGGGAGGGGGTTGGGTCACCCTACCCCAACTTTGGACCTCAATTAAAAAAGTTCCGTAACTTTACCCACCTGGATCTTTGAGTCCAGGCAACCTTAAGCAATTGCCTATCATTTGTACTTAGTGTGGACAAAAGCTTTGCCGTAGGGACTTTTTTATAAATCAAAGAAGGGAGGGGGTTGGGTCACCCTACCCCAATTCTGGACCTCAATTTAAAAAGTTCCGTAACTTAACCCACCTGGGTCTTTAAGTCCAGGCAACCTTAGGCAATTGCTTATCATTTGTACCTAGTGTGGACAAAAGCTTTGTCGTAGGGTATTTTTTTATGAATTAAAGAAGGGAGGGGGTTGGGTCACCCTACCGCAACTTTGGACCTCAATTAAAAAAGTTCCGTAACTTTACCCACCTGGGTCCTTAGGTCCAGGCAACCTTAGGCAATTGCCTATCATTTGTACCTAGTGTGGACAAAAGCTTTGCCGTAGGGAGTTTTTTATGAATTAAAGAAGGGAGGGGGTTGGGTCACCCTACCCCAACTTTGGACCTCAATTAAAAAAGTTCCATAACTTTACCCACCTGGGTCTTTAGGTCCAGGCAACCTTAGGCAATTGCTTATCATTTGTATCTAGTGTGGACAAAAGCTTTGCCGTAGGGTATTTTTTATGAATTAAAGAAGGGAGGGGGTTGGGTCACCCTACCCCAACTTTGGACCTCAATTAAAAAAGTTCCGTAACTTTACCAACCTGGGTCTTTAGGTCCAGGCAACCTTAGGCAATTGCCTATCATTTGTACCTAGTGTGGACAAAAGCTTTGCCGTAGGGACTTTTTTATGAATTAAAGAAGGGAAGGGGTTGGGTCACCCTACCGCAACTTTTGACCTCAAATAAAAAAGTTCCGTAACTTTACCCACCTATGTCTTCGGGTCCAGGCAACCTTAGGCAATTGCCTATCATTTGTACCTAGTGTGGACAAAAGCTTTGCCGTAGGGACTTTTTTATGAATTAAAGAAGGGAGGGGGTTGGGTCACCCTACCCCAACTTTGGACCTCAATTAAAAAAGTTCCGTAACTTTACCCACCTGGGTCTTTGGGTCCAGGCAACCTTAGGCAATTGCCTATCATTTGTACCTAGTATGGACAAAAGCTTTGTCATAGGGATTTTTTTATGAATTAAAGAAGGGAGGGGGTTGGGTCACCCTACCCCAACTTTGGACCTCAATTAAAAAAGTTCCGTAACTTTACCCACCTGGATCTTTGAGTCCAGGCAACCTTAAGCAATTGCCTATCATTTGTACTTAGTGTGGACAAAAGCTTTGCCGTAGGGACTTTTTTATAAATCAAAGAAGGGAGGGGGTTGGGTCACCCTACCCCAATTCTGGACCTCAATTTAAAAAGTTCCGTAACTTTACCCACCTGGGTCTTTAGGTCCAGGCAACCTTAGGCAATTGCTTATCATTTGTACCTAGTATGGACAAAAGCTTTGTCGTAGGGTATTTTTTTATGAATTAAAGAAGGGAGGGGGTTGGGTCACCCTACCGCAACTTTGGACCTCAATTAAAAAAGTTCCGTAACTTTATTCACCTGGGTCCTTAGGTCCAGGCAACCTTAGGCAATTGCCTATCATTTGTACCTAGTGTGGACAAAAGCTTTGCCGTAGGGACTTTTTTATGAATTAAAGAAGGGAGGGGGTTGGGTCACCCTACCCCAACTTTGGACCTCAATTAAAAAAGTTCCATAACTTTACCCACCTGGGTCTTTAGGTCCAGGCAACCTTAGGCAATTGCTTATCATTTGTATCTAGTGTGGACAAAAGCTTTGCCGTAGGGTATTTTTTATGAATTAAAGAAGGGAGGGGGTTGGGTCACCCTACCCCAACTTTGGACCTCAATTAAAAAAGTTCCGTAACTTTACCAACCTGGGTCTTTAGGTCCAGGCAACCTTAGGCAATTGCCTATCATTTGTACCTAGTGTGGACAAAAGCTTTGCCGTAGGGACTTTTTTATGAATTAAAGAAGGGAGGGGGTTGGGTCACCCTACCGCAACTTTGGACCTCAATTAAAATAGTTCCGTAACTTTACCCACCTGGATCTTTGGGTCCAGGCAACCTTAGGCAATTGCCTATCATTTGTTCCTAGTGTGGACAAAAGCTTTGCCGTAGGGACTTTTTTATAAATTAAAGAAGGGAGGGGGTTGAGTCACCTTACCCCAACTCTGGACCTCAATTAAAAAAGTTCCGTAACTTATCCCACCTGGGTCTTTAGGTCCAGGCAACCTTAGGCAATTGCCTATCATTTGTATCTAGTGTGGACAAAAGCTTTGCCGTAGGGACTTTTTTATGAATTAAAGAAGGGAGGGGGTTGGGTCACCCTACCCCAACTTTGGACCTCAATTAAAAAAGTTCCGTAACTTTAACCACCTGGGTCTTTAGGTCCAGGCAACCTTAGGCAATTGCCTATCATTTGTACCTAGAGTGGACAAAAGCTTTGCCGTAGGGACTTTTTTATGAATTAAAGAAGGGAGGGGATTGGGTCACCCTACCCCAACTTTGGACCTCAATTAAAAAAGTTCCGTAACTTTACCCACCTGGGTCTTTGGGTCCAGGCAACCTTAGGCAATTGCCTATCATTTGTACCTAGTGTGGACAAAAGCTTTGCCATAGGGATTTTTTTATGAATTAAAGAAGGGAGGGGGTTGGGTCACCCTACCCCAACTTTGGACCTCAATTAAAAAAGTTCCGTAACTTTACCCACCTGGATCTTTGGGTCCAGGCAACCTTAAGCAATTGCCTATCATTTGTACTTAGTGTGGACAAAAGCTTTGCCGTAGGGACTTTTTTATAAATCAAAGAAGGGAGGGGGTTGGGTCACCCTACCCCAATTCTGGACCTCAATTTAAAAAGTTCCGTAACTTTACCCACCTGGGTCTTTAGGTCCAGGCAACCTTAGGCAATTGCTTATCATTTGTACCTAGTGTGGACAAAAGCTTTGTCGTAGGGTATTTTTTTATGAATTAAAGAAGGGAGGGGGTTGGGTCACCCTACCCCAACTTTGGACCTCAATTAAAAAAGTTCCGTAACTTTACCCACCTGGGTCCTTAGGTCCAGGCAACCTTAGGCAATTGCTTATCATTTGTACCTAGTGTGGACAAAAGCTTTGCCGTAGGGACTTTTTTATGAATTAAAGAAGGGAGGGGGTTGGGTCACCCTACCCCAACTTTGGACCTCAATTAAAAAAGTTCCATAACTTTACCCACCTGGGTCTTTAGGTCCAGGCAACCTTAGGCAATTACTTATCATTTGTACCTAGTGTGGACAAAAGCTTTGCCGTAGGGTATTTTTTATGAATTAAAGAAGGGAGGGGGTTGGGTCACCCTACCCCAACTTTGGACCTCAATTAAAAAAGTTCCGTAACTTTACCAACCTGGGTCTTTAGGTCAAGGCAACCTTAGGCAATTGCCTATCATTTGTACCTAGTGTGGACAAAAGCTTTGCCGTAGGGACTTTTTTATGAATTAAAGAAGGGAGGGGGTTGGGTCACCCTACCGCAACTTTGGACCTCAATTAAAATAGTTCCGTAACTTTACCCACCTGGATCTTTGGGTCCAGGCAACCTTAGGCAATTGCCTATCATTTGTTCTTAGTGTGGACAAAAGCTTTGCCGTAGGGACTTTTTTATAAATTAAAGAAGGGAGGGGGTTGGGTCACCCTACCCCAACTTTGGACCTCGATTAAAAAAGTTCCGTAACTTATCCCACCTGGGTCTTTAGGTCCAGGCAACCTTAGGCAATTGCCTATCATTTGTATCTAGTGTGGACAAAAGCTTTGCCGTAGGGACTTTTTTATGAATTAAAGAAGGGAGGGGGTTGGGTCACCCTACCCCAACTTTGGACCTCAATTAAAAAAGTTCCGTAACTTTAACCACCTGGGTCTTTAGGTCCAGGCAACCTTAGGCAATTGCCTATCATTTGTACCTAGAGTGGACAAAAGCTTTGCCGTAGGGACTTTTTTATGAATTAAAGAAGGGAGGGGATTGGGTCACCCTACCCCAACTTTGGACCTCAATTAAAAAAGTTCCGTAACTTTACCCACCTGGGTCTTTGGGTCCAGGCAACCTTAGGCAATTGCCTATCATTTGTACCTAGTGTGGACAAAAGCTTTGCCATAGGGGTTTTTTTATGAATTAAAGAAGGGAGGGGGTTGGGTCACCCTACCCCAACTTTGGACCTCAATTAAAAAAGTTCCGTAACTTTACCCACCTGGATCTTTGGGTCCAGGCAACCTTAGGCAATTGCCTATCATTTGTACCTAGTGTGGACAAAAGCTTTGCCGTAGGGACTTTTTTATGAATTAAAGAAGGGAGGGGGTTGGGTCACCCTACCCCAAATCTGGACCTCAATTAAAAAAGTTCCGTAACTTTACCCACCTGGGTCTTTAGGTCCAGGCAACCTTAGGCAATTGCCTATCATTTGTACCTGGTGTGGACAAAAGCTTTGCCGTAGGGACTTTTTTATGAATTAAAGAAGGGAGGGGATTGGGTCACCCTACCCCAACTTTGGACCTCAATTAAAAAAGTTCCGTAACTTTACCCACCTGGGTCTTTGGGTCCAGGCAACCTTAGGCAATTGCCTATCATTTGTACCTAGTGTGGACAAAAGCTTTGCCATAGGGATTTTTTTATGAATTAAAGAAGGGAGGGGGTTGGGTCACCCTACCCCAACTTTAGACCTCAATTAAAAAAGTTCCGTAACTTTACCCACCTGGGTCTTTGGGTCCAAGCAACCTTAGGCAATTGCCTATTATTTGTACCTAGTGTGGACAAAAGCTTTGCCGTAGGGTATTTTTTATGAATTAAAGAATTGAGGGGGTTGGGTCACCCTACCCCAACTTTGGACCTCAATTTAAAAAGTTCCGTAACTTTACCCACCTGGGTCTTTAGGTCCAGGCAACCTTAGGCAATTGCCTATCATTTGTACCTAGTGTGGGCAAAAGCTTTGCCGTAGGGACTTTTTTATGAATTAAAGAAGGGAGGGGGTTGGGTCACCCTACCCCAACTTTGGACCTCAATTAAAAAAGTTCCGTAACTTTACCCACCTGGGTCTTTAGGTCCAGGCAATCTTAGGCAATTGCTTATCATTTGTACCTAGTGTGGACCAAAGGTTTTGCCGTAGGGTATTTTTTATGAATTAAAGAAGGGAGGGGGTTGGGTCACCCTACCGCAACTTTGGACCTCTTTTAAAACAGTTCCGTAACTTTACCCACCTGGGTCCTTAGGTCCAGGCAACCTTAGGCAATTGCCTATCATTTGTACCTAGTGTGGACAAAAGCTTTGCCGTAGGGACTTTTTTATGAATTAAAGAAGGGAGGGGGTTGGGTCACCCTACCCCAACTTTGGACCTCAATTACAAAAGTTCCGTAACTTTACCCACCTGGGTCTTTAGGTCCAGGCAACCTTAGGCAATTGCCTATCATTTGTACCTAACGTGGACAAAAGTTTTGCCGTAGGAAATTTTTTTATGAATTAAAGAAGGGAGGGGGTTGGGTCACCCTATCCCAACTTTGGACCTCAATTAAAAAAGTTCCGTAACTTTACCCACCTGGGTCTTTAGGTCCAGGCAACCTTAGGCAATTGCCTATCATTTATACCTAGTGTGGACAAAAGCTTTGCCGTAGGGACTTTTTTATGAATTAAAGAAGGGAGGGGGTTGGGTCACCCTACCCCAACTTTAGACCTCAATTAAAAAAGTTCCGTAACTTTACCCACCTGGGTCTTTAGGTCCAGGCAACCTTAGGCAATTGCCTATCATTTGTACCTAGTGTGGACAAAAGCTTTGCCGTAGGGATTTTTTTATGAATTAAAGAAGGGAGGGGGTTTGGTCACCCTACCCCAACTTTGGACCTCAATTAAAAAAGTTCCGTAAATTTACCCACCTGGGTCTTTGGGTCCAGGCAACCTTAGGCAATTGCCTATCATTTGTACCTAGTGTGGAGAAAAGCTTTGCCGTAGGGACTTTCTTATGAATTAAAAAAGGGAGGGGGTTGGGTCACCCTACCCCAACTTTGGACCTCAATTAAAAAAGTTCCGTAACTTTACCCACCTGGGTCTTTAGGTCCAGGCAACCTTAGGCAATTGCCTATCATTTGTACCTAGTGTGGACAAAAGCTTTGCCGTAGGGTATTTTTTATGAATTAAAGAAGGGAGGGGGTTGGGTCACCCTACCCCAATTTTGGACCTCAATTAAAAAAGTTCCGTAATTTTACCCACCTGGGTCTTTGGGTCCAGGCAACCTTAGGCAATTGCCTATCATTTGTACCTTGTGTGGACAAAAGTTTTGATGTAGGGACTTTTTTATGAATTAAAATTGGATAGTGGTAGGGTCACCCTACCCCAACTTTGGACCTCAATTAAAAAAGTTCCGTAACTTTACCCACCTGGGTCTTTAGGTCCAGGCAACCTTAGGCAATTGCCTATCATTCGTACCTAGTGTGGACAAAAGCTTTGCCGTAGGGACTTTTTTATGAATTAAAGAAGGGAGGGGGTTGGGTCACCCTACCCCAACTTTGGACCTCAATTAAAAAAGTTCCGTAACTTTAACCACCTGGGTCTTTAGGTCCAGGCAACCTTAGGCAATTGCCTATCATTTGTTCCTAGAGTGGACAAAAGCTTTGCCGTAGGGACTTTTTTATGAATTAAAGAAGGGAGGGGATTGGGTCACCCTACCCCAACTTTGGACCTCAATTAAAAAAGTTCCGTAACTTTACCCACCTGGGTCTTTGGGTCCAGGCAACCTTAGGCAATTGCCTATCATTTGTACCTAGTGTGGACAAAAGCTTTGCCATAGGGATTTTTTTATGAATTAAAGAAGGGAGGGGGTTGGGTCCCAACTTTGGACCAAAATCTTTATGGGTGCCTCTCTTACACTTATCACTCTTCCTTTCGAAATATAGTAAATACATTACCAGAGTGACGACATACTTTTGAATAATTAGAAAAATGAACTAGTTCTTTGACAAAAGAAGAAAACTGCGTATAATGCTTTTATTTCTAAAGAAAATCTAACAAAAAATACTGGACGTTCCAAAATCAGATGATTTATTTTTCTTTTCTTTTCAAACGCATATGTAAAGTAGAAGATTTATTTGTATCGTTACATGTACACTAGTTTAGTTTCATTATTATAAAAACAACAAACCCATCTCTAATCAGACAGCACTAAAAAGAGAAAGGATTACCTAATAGGAATTTTAGATGTCCGGTTAAAAAACAGTTGTATTAGATACACGAATAACTAATTAACTTTGTCTGTGTGATAATGGAATTGCATTTCGTTCTCCTACTGGAAATTAGTTTCATTAGAATTAAAAGGACGTTTTGTGTTATTGCAAGTCTTCGGTTTTTAGGCATGATCATGTTGGCGCGTTTTCTTATTGTTCGCTGGCTTATTGTTCGCTAGCTTGATACATCTTATTGTTCGCTGGCTTAGTGTTCGCTAGCTTGAGTCTGGTCTCAAATTTACAAAATAGTAAAATATAACTTATGATCAATGTCAAAATTATTGGAAGTTTTGTGTTATGTAGAATAAATACTCGAATTTGTCAATTATACCACATCTTCTTATTTGTATATTAATCATGTCAAAATACGAAAATGGAACGAATATAGTGAAGTATTGTGTCCATGCTTGACGATATCAAAGTCGCGTACATATACGAAGAGAAGATCTGACAAAGACGTAAAAGAGACAGCAACTCAGCCACACAACATACCAGAATGTGTACAGTTAGCTCTTGTGTGCATCCTTTCATTAGGATTTGACTTTAAAAGATATTACTACTTTTGCCTGAACATACCGGAATTGTACTATTTTCTCGGAAAAGTAAGGTATTTATTTCCCGAAGCGTAGACTTTAATTGTGGAAACGTATTCTTTTTCCCGGCCAAATTTTATATGAGCAGTGTATTTGTTTCAATGTCAGTATAATAAAGCATTAACTAGTGTTAATGTCTATGGATGTATTAGTTACAGTTGCATACTAATTGAGAGATCGTCCTTTTTGATGTTCTTCGTGTGGAAATTATTCTTCCTTCAGCATGCATCTTTTACTTTTTTCCTCTAATGAGATCCTCATTTACCCTTACATTATAATAGTTTGTGGACCCGTATGTATTTAGGGAACGGCACTCTCCGTGTATCGTACGTAAAGAAAAACAACTTTCGTATATTTTACGTTTCAGAGTCCTACATGTATGTTGAATTTTACTCAGAACTTAGAAAGTTGATATCAGCGCGGGTTATGCTTAAAGTTAACCTTTTATTCTATATGTCAGATAACCTACTTGTTTTTATGTAGGATTGCTGTCTGATTGACGAATAGCCGTAATTTTATCTCTATATTTTTTTTAAATTTTTTTTTAGGGATGCATCCAATTGCACCTTTTCATTTGTAATATATTTCCGTGACGTAACCTCAAAAGATTAGTCACTTCAATAAAAAAAATATAAGCGAAAATGAAACCTCTTCTCGCATGTTGCACTTTGTGTAATTGTTCTCTTCGACAAAATTAAATATAAAGAAGCCACAATTTGGTTCCTAAATGGATATTTTTTAAAACCCGGGGCCTAAAGCTAGATAAAGCCTATCTCTTGATAAAGTTTCTTGAATTCGGCAAATTTTAGAGACCGACCGTGCGAGGGCTCAGTCTGTATAGCCATTCAAGGTCGTTAAAACTTTGATCATCCTTGTAGAGATTTTTTGAAAATACGATGGTTGATGCTTTTTTCAAACTAAAACATGATCAAATATAATTGGTGGCCTTCTGTTTTCATGTTGTTGTCTCTTTTACATATTCCCCATTTCCATTCTTAATTTTAGATAAAGTAAAAAATTATGATAAACAAATGTATTCTTGTTGTCAGATCAAAATACATTTAACAAGCCAGTGCGATAAAATTCCATTCGTTACTATTACGTAAAATATATATCACGATATCTCAGTAGCATGGGTTCGAATCCCGGCGGGGGAAGAACAAAAAATTTGCGAAAGCAAATTTACAGATCTAACATTGTTGGGTTGATGTTTAGACGAGTTGTATATATATATATAAGTCCTGTGTCCAATTGAGAAATAACTACATGTGGTTTGTATATCAGGGGAGAATT